CTTCGAGCCGTCTTTCCTAGTCATCCGCCATGGTGGATGGATGGAAGGCCCAAGCTAACATGGGGTTAGCTCGTTAAGCAACTACAATAAAGCCTCGTGCAGTTTGCATCAAGCTTTCGACTCCACCTGGTGATTGGGGTTACCGTGGTCCTGGGCTGAGATCCTGGGGGCCTGAGCTCCCGGGGATCTTTCAATAGGTATAAACCTACTAAGTTAGAACCAGTTACAGTCAGGCTGGAGGGCTCTGAATGATGCATCCCTCCAAAGTCTCTCAGCTTGAATCCAGCTTCCGAGACAGATTCTGCACTAATCTGTAGCTATATAAATTAGTTGCAGGGATGGGGCCTTGCCTAGCCACCCCTATGGGCTTGAGGCAGGTAGCTAGGGACAGGTTTTGTCTGCTGAGATATATTAAACAGACAGACAGCACTCAAATGCTCATAGATCTAGAGAACATGGCATTTAAAATGTTTTATTAAAAAGCTTTTTATAACAGAGAGACAGGCCAGCTGCTGGCCCCACCCCATTTCCTCCAAGAAGACTGGTGGGCACTGAAGAAACTCCACCCACAAAAGTGGCAATGCTGATCACTGAGCAAGCCTGCCTTTCACCTCAACTGCTGCAAAGGACTCTTCCGACTGTGGACAAGAGGACAATGGAATTGACTTCCTCCAAGTTGCTTGGGTCAATGGTAGGCAAGTCTTCCAATAGTTCCTAATTCACAGGTCCCATGCTTTTATCAAGAGGCAGGTGTCCCTTAAAGTCGCTGCCCACAACCATGGAGGACATTGGGGGTGGCTGTCCATGCAGTCAGCTGGTAAGTCTCTGTTATTCTTTAATCATTAACTAAGGTAAAAAATTAATCCTTCTCAAGAACTCTGATACTTTTGACAGCTGATAGCTTTGCCAGCTTAAAGCAACAGCCAAAGCTCCAACTGTCACAAAACAGATTTCAGGAACAGATATTTTAGGGTTTTATCTATATAAATATGGTAATATAAGGTACGTGAAGGTCTAAATATAAATACAAGCTATGAAGGTCTGAGGATAGAAAGGCTTAGGTGATATCAAATAAAGTGAGTTGAGACATTTAAAAGAATGAAATATGTTCCAGATTTCTCTCTTTCATTATGCTACTGTTCATAGTCAATAAAGTTTTGATAAGCTACTAATCCAACTCTAACAGAGTACAAAACACCAAACTATACTCCTATATGACCATAACTGCCAGGACAAGATTAAGGTACTTTTTATTATGCTCCCCCTTTTAAGCCCATAACATTATCCCCTGCTCTCTTCTCTTTCCAGTTGGTCGACCACTTACCCTCCTCTTTCCTCTCTCCTCTCTGCTCTGTTCTTGTCTTTTCTCCCACCTGTAATAAACTTTATGTTTAATGTATTCTCCACAGTCCATCGTGCCAGCACCAGCCCCATCTTGAGGCTTATTTTTCTAATTTTTAAACTTTTACAAAATCACAACATAGACCTTCACACAGCCCCTGCTTTAGCAGCCATGACAGGCTACAGAAAAGACATGTAGACCTCTGACACAAGGAAACTCCAGATCCTCTGGCCTCCCAGAGCCTAGGACCAAAACTGAACACAAAGAAACTCCAGACACCCCTAGTCTCCTAGATACTTGATTATATAATCCTATAACTTTTGTTTTTAAAACCTAGCAGTAGATAGGGAACTTCACTCCCTCTGGAGGCTGCTGCATCAGCTAGCTAGATGGGGTCCCTGACATGATTGGATGAATAAAACCTTGCTTTTGCAGTTTGGTTGGTCTGTCTGTCTTCCTGGTGGTCTCTAGGGATCTTTGCAACTTGGGCACAACAATCACCTGCTAGTCTGGGCCCCAGCTCTGCTACCCACACTCTGACCAAACTAACTTAATGCTTTAGCTGAGCTTTAGTTTCCTTGTTGGTAAAAATGGAAAAAAAAATATAGTTTCAGCTTCACACTTACAAGCATTAAAAGAGTTAGCTACATTTTTTTAATCCCAGCACTAGGGAGGCAGAAGTGGGTAGGTCTCTGTGAGTTCAACACCAGCCTGGTCTACAAAGTGAGTTCCAGGATTGCCAGGGCTACAGAGAAACACTATCTCAAAAAAACAACAATAACAACAAAAAAACAAAATAATTAAAAGAATTAGAGCTGAAGAGATGGTCCAGTGGTTAAGAGCACTTGTTACTCTTGCAGAGGACCAGGGTTTAGTTCCCAGCAACCACATGGTGGCTCATAACTGTGAGTCCAGGGAATCCAGTTCCCTCTTCTGACTTCCTTGAGCACCAGGCATGCACATCGTGCTGTCAGGTGTTCTGTGTTGCTTGGGTCAGTTGAAGAAAGAGGATCACTCCAGGATGCAATCCAGGTTCTGTCACAGCAGGGAGGAACAGTTTCTATGAACTCACTGAACCCCAAACAGCCATGCAAAGGTTTATTTATTGATTGCTACGTGAAAGTTGTGTATTGGGTAAAACAAGTTCCTCATACTACAGCCCCTAATCTAAATCTGTATGTTTTCTGAAGGAAAACATCACACACCTGCAATCCTAGTCCTTATTGTGTTCTCTTTGCAGTACCCAATAATGCAAGACACTCCAGGTGTGCCAGAACTGTCTTGTGACCAAAGTCATGCAAAGACTGTAAAGATCCTTCAGAAAAACAACTCCATAGATAGCAGAAAACTGTTTTCTACAATGATTTCTTCAAGGCCTAAGTACTTCTAGAAAACAACTATTCATTCTGATGTTTACTTTAGATATAGCAAAAACAACTGTTTCATTCTAATGTTTACCCTAGATACAATGACCCTGCTAATTTTTTCTCTATATCATGTACATACCTACAGTCAGGCAAATCACTCATATACATAAATGAATCTAAAAACTTTTTAAGAACTTAAAGAGCTAATATATTTGAGGTTAGCTGAGGCAATTTAGCAATGGGGTGTGGGGAGAAGGAGAGAATATAAAGGAGAAGGGGAATATATATTCTATAGCCTCAGACTAAACCCTATATAAACATTGGCTCTCCTCCTTGCCCGGAATTCCTTTGCACTCTAACCTGCTTTTCCCAACTCTGAGCCCTTTGTTGTGTGTGTGTGTGGGTCTTTCCCCTGTGGACTCCTACGTGTTAGTATTCAGGCATCTGTTCTGGCCTGTCCTTGGGGCTCTGACAGAATAAGCCTTAGCTGCAGCCACTAAGAGCACCACCTGTGCACCACCTGTGCACATTCACTATGTTCCCTTTTAAAAGGGACCGACCCACCATTTCTCTCCCTCTCTCTCTCTCTCCCTCTCCCTCTCCCTCTCTCTCTTCCTCTCCCTCTCCCTCTCCCTCCCTCCCCCTCTCTGCCTGTCTCTCTGCGTCCCCCCTCCACCTCTTTCTGCCTTTCTTTTCTATTCTGTTGCTCCTGTCCCCAGAGGCTGGGCTCTCCCCTCCCCTCCCCTCCCCTCCCCTCCCCTCCCCTCCCCTCCCCTCCCCTTTCCCCTAATAAAAACCCGTCCACATGAGCTCTGTTGCATGACATCTTTTTCTCTCCAGTCACTTTTTTTTTTTAAATTGTAACACTCTGTGTTTTTTAAAAAATTGTAACACTATGTGTTTTTTTAATTGTAACACTATGTGTTGTTGTTTTTTAAATTGTAATACTATTGTTTTTTTAAATTGTAACACTGTGTTGTTTTTTTTTTAATTGTAACACTATGTGTTTATGTGCATTAATACCACCTCCCCTGAGGCCTCGGCTCAAATGCCATTTTCTCTAAGTAGCGGTACTGCTTTCTAGAGAAGGACAGCCCTGCCTTTTGTCAACTGCCAGAGCTTTCTCTATTCTCCTCCACAACCTTCCCGTGATCTATTTACGGTAATCCCCCTTTAAAGCTTTCCTTTAAGCTTGAGAAGGCAATTATATCTGTCTGGCCCCTTCTGGGCTCAGCACAGTCCAGTTCATAGAGCAATGACTGTAAACATTTGTAAAATGAGTAGTAAGAAAGGAAACATACAAAAGGCTTTTTATTGAGCTGCGAGCTGCTATCCAAATGATATCACAATGACAAAGTTACAAAAGCTGATGATTACTAGATAATCTAATGCTACATCTGCAAGAATATGTATTGTGTAAAGGAACCTTCTCTCCAGTTGCTATACAACATATTGCTTCAAATTGACCATTTAGTCTTCCAACTAAATGGAAATTAATTAAGAAAAAGAACCAGCAATTATTAGTGTAGATGGGAAACCACAGATAGATAATGACTTGCTAAAACTTAAACCATGTTCATTCCCACGAAATAGACCTCAGATGAAAGAAAAGCTTGAACAGGGAGCTTGCCTGTTCCCAGAGAGATGTTACTGGCCCTAGTTCAAGACAGAATTAAATATTTTCATAAACTGACAAAACCAACTGTGCCAATCTGAGAAATTCATTGCTACCTTGAGGATTAACATGTGACACAGTCATAAAAACTATTATTTTATTATCAAGTAATGATCAAGTACTTGGGAAATTACGATGAACACCATCGTAGTTCAAAATAGACACAACAGTAATTCTCTCGGGCAAAGTCTTACTTGCTTTGTCCCATAGGACAAAGAGTCTCTGAGAAAGGATGCCTTCCACCTCACCAACTGTCAAACGGCTTCTCTCATGTGTGATCGGCCTCAGAACACTTACCAGATGCAATCTGTCAGTCAAAATGTGGTACTTTCCTAATTTTGATTGGGGAAAATTGAACGAAGCACTGGACTTTGACTCCAGGAAAAAGCAAACTAGGGCGATTTCTAAAGAATCATTAGTGAACAGAGGGCGGCAGAGGAGCTGATTCAATGATCGCTTTATCTTAGGCCATTGGATACTGTCTCTCTACCCTGCTTTTGCCAAGCTCATAGTTCAAAGTCTCTCAGTGCTTAGAAGCATCACCAAGAAAGTGCGCCGCTAGGTGGCTGCCAAATCTTGGACTACATTTCCCAGAGGGCTTTGCTCCCGGGCGTTTGCAGTTGAATCGGGGTGTGTCTAGGAAAGAGAAGCCATAGTCGGCCAGCCAATTTGGAGCATCAACTCCACTGTGCTACAGCAGTGCTGAGATGGTTGCGATCCTGCTGCTCCTCTGTCTTCCCTTCATCTTCTGCCTGGCCACACCAAGAATCAGGTCTGTGCGAATGTTTTGCTTTTTCTTCTTGAGAGGACAAGAATCCCCACTGGAGCTGATCCTTTTTTTTTTTTTTTTTTCCCTTTTGAGTTGAGAGGAGAGAGAGAGAGAGAGAGAGAGAGAGAGAGAGAGAGAGAGTGACTGACTGACTGACTGACTGACTGACTAGGAAAACTCCCTAAGGAGTCCTTTAGATAGCATGGCGAGACGCCAGACCCCAGGTGGTAGTATAAGGGCTCCCGGTCCCCAGCATCCTGCTTTGCTCCTTCTGACCTACCTTTCCTCTAGTGCCACCTGCTTCTGGCTCAGGGGAAGCCCGAGAGCATGGCGGGCTTCAGACCCTAACATGGGGGTACAGCCCTCAAGGGTATTTCCTCCACTCCCAAGCTTAGAACCAGCCTTTGTCTAGCTACTGGCTTTCAGTCCTTGAGGTATTACAAAGGCTTGAACTTTTTTATCTCTGAACCCGCCCCAAATTTTATCTGTAATCTCACTGCATGCTCTCTTTGCTGTTGTTCACTCCTCCGTGCAGATGTTAGAGGAGAGATTTGAAAGGGGAGATTGTTTTCTTTTCCCTTCGGAGTGTGAGTGTGTTTGCCTGAGTTAGAATCCTAGGGACCAGGAGAAGAAGGAACGAGTGAAAGAGGGCAAAAATGGTCTCTTGACCGGGTGTCGGGTCAGCCCAAGCTGGCCATATACCGCCAGAGAATCAGCCAAGGGCTGGCTATACTAGGGACAGCCCACTGATTGGTTCTGAGTAAGTCACCAGGAGTGACGGTGGAACAATAATAAACGCCCCCTTCTTTCTGGCAGCATGGCCATAGTTCCTATTGGATCTGAGACTGTGCACGATAAAACTGTAATTTCTTACCATAGTAAATGGTTTATTAAGACCGGCTTCCCTCTCTTTTTTACTTTTCCTTCTCTCCTTGGTGGCCTCCTTCCATTTTGGCGTTTTCCTTCTCTGAATACTCATTGCTCCCACATGTAGGAGGCACACATGGGCCTTGTACTCAGATGAAAACACAGATTGCTGTCTACCACCAGATCTTCATCTCCACATAGAATCTGAACAAAGACTTGAACCAGAATTTTGTCCATCGAGATGTTTCTGAGAACATTACGCTCTAAAGATTTTAATATCCCCGTTGGAGTGTTTGGAAGTCCTGCCAGAGCTGGGCTTTCATAGTTGACTACATCTTTTGTTTATGCTGATTACAGAGAAAGAACCAAGTACAGGTCCCCAGGATTTGTCAGTGTTGAAGCTCTGTGAGAGACAGAGCCAGGGACCCTGATCCCTGAGCAGAGAAATTCAGTTGACACCATCAGTTAGTTTGCCTAAAGCCGTAGCTTCAGTGGCTGCTCACAATTAACAAGTTCAATGAAAAAGGTTGAAATGTTCTTTCAAAACATACTCTTAGTCAACAGATGCTTTTAATCCAAAGACTGAGAGAAAAAGAAAAAAATCTGAGGGTCGTGTTTGTGCTTTGTCATGCAGAAAGGCTGCAGAGCATACAGCATAGGAACAAGAACTCCAATTAGACAACAAGATACAAATGCTCACTCTGTGTCACTCTGTTCTGTTGTCATTATTATTCTATTATTAATGTGACACCTTAGTAATCAGACCCGGGGCTTTGCACATGCCAGGTACATACTTTTACCCCAAGCTAAATCCCTAACCTTTGTCCCATGTTTTTAAGGCATGTACTACCACACTGACCATGTTTATTTTTATTTTATATGCATTGGTGTTTTGCCTGCATGTATGTCTGAGTGAGTGTGCTGGGTCCCCTGGAAACTGGAATTACAGATGGCTGTGAGCCACCATGTCTGTGCTGGGAATTGAATGTGTCTCCTCTGGAAGGGCAGTCAGTGCTCTTAAACACTGAGCCATCTCTCCAGCCCCTGTCCCATTCTTTCTTTCTTTCTTTTTTTTTTTTTTTTTTCCTGAGACAGGGATTCTCTGTGACTTTGGAGGCTGTCCTGGAACAAGCTCTTGTAGACCAGGCTGGTCTTGAACTCACAGAGACCCGCCTGCCTCTGCCTCCCAAGTGCTGGGATTAAAGGTGTGCACCACCAATGTCCAGCTGCCCTGTCCCATTCTTAAGTGGTATTTTTTAAATGTGTGAATGTGTTATCTTTTTCTTATTTTTAACCTAGATTCATAAGCTTATGATTTCTACTCTTTGAATTGGATTAGCCATTCTCAAGATTATAAAATGCCATTTGTCACAGATTGGCATGCAAAGATCAGTTTTCTTCTGCTTGGCTGAGTCTTGTGATTTCTTAAGCCAAAAATGCCTGATAGGTAACTCAAACTGAAATTAGGGTGCCTGACCAATCATTTACTCACCCAGGTCTTCTGCTTTAGGGAGCAGATACAACTTTGTCTGTTTGTTTTAGGTTTTTGAGACAGCATCTCTCTACATCACCCTGGTTGTTCTGGAACTCACTATCTAGAACAGGCTGGCCTCAAATTCATAGATATCCCTCTGCCTCCCAAGGATCAAAGACATATGTCACCCTGCCCTGCCAGATCTAACTTTAAATGCTATCACGTTTTTGTCCTTAAACAAGAGCATAAAGTTTTTGTTTGTTTTCCTTTTTGAGACAGTTGCTTAGTTGCCCAGACTGGCCTTGGACTCGATTCTTCTATCTTCTAAGTGGTAAGATTATACCTAGCTTAAGAGCAGAAGGCCATTTTCTTTCTTTTTCATTTTTTAACATTTATTTATTGTGTGTATATATTTATTGTATATTGGGATGGTTGCATATGTGTGTACCATGGCGTACATGTAGAGGTCAGAGGATGGCTTCCAGGAGTCAACTCTCATTTTCCATCATGTGGGTCCTGAATATTGAACTGATGTCGACAGGCTTGGAGGCAAGCATGTTTACCTGCTAAGGTATCTTGCTGGCCTTGTCACTTTTCAACTTAAGCTTATAAAAGAATAACACTGAAGAAATGAAAGCAAACTCAGCCTTGGCATTGGAAGGCAGTCAGAGTTGCAGGAGCCCTCAGCAGGAATGGACAATGAAGAACAGATATGTTTTTTTCTGTGTCTCTAGGAAAATGCTGTCTTGTGGGATGTGTACATCTAATGTCCAGCTTCCTGGGAAGGTAGCCATAGTCACCGGTGCTAACACAGGCATTGGGAAGGAGACTGCTAAAGACCTGGCCCAAAGAGGCAAGTGTACCTGCTCTCAACTCTCTCCTGCCGATGTTTTGCCCCTCACAGTGATGATCATGTTCATTGTTTCTTCCCAGATTTGGAATGTCAGAACAGAACACCCCAAGCACTTCTTTTAATTTCCTACTATAGTCTGAGTCTACTGTGACACTCTACTTATAATAGGCACTTAACAAAAAACTTAAAAAACAGCACATGTCATTTCAATTTTTTTTTCTTGTGCATGTGCTTCCGATACTACTGTTGCGAAGTAAAGGATAAAAATTCCTGTCTTGTAAGACATCTGGAACATTCAGCATCTGTTCAGCCTCTCAACACCACTTGGAAATAGAATTATGATTTTTTTTTCCTTCATTTGGTTGACAGGAGCCCGTGTGTATTTAGCTTGCCGGGATGTGCAGAAAGGGGAACAGGTGGCTAGCGAGATCCAAGCCACCACAGGGAATAATCAGGTCTTGGTAAGGAAACTGGACCTAGCTGATACCAAGTCTATTCGAGCCTTTGCCAAAGACTTCTTAGCTGGTAAGTGGAGACAAAGACTAAATATATTAATGACCATTGCAACATAATTTTATTTATGTCATTATGTCAATATATTATGATCAAAGGGACATCTTCAGGATGCAAAACCAAAGAGAGAACCTGTCTTAGTTACTTTTCTGTTGCCATGATGAGACATCATGACTAAGGCAATTTATAAAAGTTCACAGTTCCAGAAGGCTACGGGCTATGACCATCATAGCAAGGGACATGTAGCAGGTAGGCAGGCATGGTGCTGGAGCAACAGCTGAGAGATCACATCCTGATCTGTAACCACAAGGCAGAAATAGCTAATTGGGAATGATATGGGCTTTTGAAACCTCAAAACCCCAGTAACATACCTTCTCTAACAAGACCACACCTCCTAATCCTTCCCAAAGAGTTCTACCAACTAGAGATGAAGTATTCATGTATATGAGCCTATGGGGGCCATTCTCATTCAAGCCACCACAGAGCCCAAAACCCACAACAGTGAGCAAGAGCCACAGTCAAAACTGTAGCAAGAACATCAGAACTCAATATGGGCTGGGCTTGGTAGGGTCTGTCATAAACATCCATGCTGGGACAGGAAAGTGATGAGGCCTCAAGCCTTCTAAAGCTGGAGTTCTATAAAAGGTTGAGATCCATGGAGAGTTATTTGGTCCATGGTATAAGTACTAAAAAGACAAACAAATTCCTGGCCCCACCTCAGGGCCATAATAAAGCAGCTTACCCTTACTTGGTATATTGGATACTTTTCTCTTGCTGTGATAAGATACCATGACCAAGTCAACTTATAAAAGAAAGCATTTAATTGGGTTTATAGTTCCAGAAGGTTAGAGTCCATGATGGCAGAGCAAAGGCATGGCAGCAAAGGCAATGGAGAGCTCACATCTTGAACTGCAAGCAGGACACAGAGGATGTCCTGGGAATGGCCTGGGTCTTTTGAAACCTCAGCCACCTGTTCCCAGTGACATGTTTCCCCCAGCACGGCCACACTATCTAATTATCTTCAAAAATCTATCAACTGGGGACCAAGTATTCAAATTCCCAAGATTTATGGGGGCATCTCACTCAAACATACACTTAGGATCTGCATAGATGAAGGGAGATGGTGACCTGCAAGAAATTAGAATCCAAGCTGTATCAGGAAGTCATTCTACTAAGTGTTGTAGCATCTTCATTTAAAAACCTGTGGGACCAGGAAGATGGCTCAGCAGGTAAAGGTGCTTGCTGCCAAGCCTGATGACTAGAGTTCAATCTTTAGGATCCACATAGTGGAAGGAGAGAGCTAACTCTCACAAGTTGTCCTCTGACCTGCACACATACTCCATGTCATGTTTCCTCTCTCTCTTTCTCTCTCACAATAATAAACACAATGACATTTTTTTAGAAAGCTGTGGTGTTTCACCAAAAGTAGACCCAAGAGTACTGTTCCGGTATGCCCCACCCCCATCACCCAGGGATCTAGACTTAAGGAAAACAACTTCCACTTGTAGGAGTTTACAGTCATGAATTACAAATCATACAAGCAAATGAACCTACAAGAGAGAGATGGCAGGTTTCTTTGGGCTCAAATCCTAGATGTATGTGAGTGCTTATGAGGCATCCTTTCCCTGTTGGCTTCTATGTCTTTCCATTCAGCTTGGGATGTCTTTCTGCTGGGACAGGTGGATGGAACACTTCCCCAAGACAAGGAGTAAGGAGCTTTTGGAGAGCCTGAACATACAAAATGGAATTTTGCCCTGTAAAAGTGTGTGAGATCAGCCCTAGTTTTACAACAACAAAACAAAACAAAACAAAACAAAAGGAGTCACTGAAAGGGAATATGGGTGAATGAAGTCTTGCATTCCTGCTTTCATACTCCCTCCTTGGCGGCCTAGGCCTGGGTTGTGAGGTCGATTTCTGAGACGTGAAAGCCATGGCTGTTTTCTCTTCCTGCAGAGGAAAAGCACCTCCACATCCTAATCAACAATGCAGGAGTGATGATGTGCCCCTACTCCAAGACTGCAGATGGCTTTGAGATGCACATTGGAGTCAACCACTTGGGTGAGAAGTCTGTCCTCAGTCCAAAGCCAGAAGGAACCTAAAACTCTCTTGGGAAATTCGGGGGTCAGACTGAACCCCCTCTGTGGCATCACTGGGGCTCAGGACATGCATAATAAATAGTTGAGAAGTGCCTGAAAGCTGAGGGCTAACCAACCCTGAGGCCTGCTTCAAGTTCTGCCTACTACACACACGTCTGTGTGGGTGTATGCTATATTTATCTGTGTGTCTGCAGAAGCTGAAACAAAGCATCAGATCCCCTAGAGCTGGAGTTACAGGTGATTGTGATCCTCCACATATGGGAGCTGGGAACCAGACTCTTTACTTCTGGAAGAGCAGCAAACACTCTTAACTACTGAGCCATCTTTCCAAGTCCTCTCTCTACTTTTTAAATCTGTAATTCAGATCTGGCTTCTGTTGGGGGTATATTTGAATATCTTGATTAGATTGGGGGATGTGTTGCTTATCTTTATGGTCAGCATCAGGTAGAGGCCATGGGCTGTGTTGTACACACAAGGTCTTGTTATGCAGCCCAGACTACCTTCCACAACTCCCCGAGATCTTTCTGCCTCAGCCTCCAGTGTGTGTGCCATTGTCTGTTCTCAGAGAGTGGTCCATCCAGCTCTGTTGAAATGAAACAGGACTCATGGCCTTAGCACAGACCTGCCTCGTATAAGGGTGTCTCGTGTCTTTGACTGTTTCTATTCCCTTAAATCCCCTGTGATGCTGTGCTCTAATTTATAATGAAAAGTCGAAGTGCTGGGCCTGGCTCCTGAGCACCCACCTCACCTAACACGGCTGCTGTCACAGCTGCCTCCAGAGCTGAGCTCTGCTTGCCATTGTGCGTCCTAACCCATCACAGGCACGGAACAACTCTGATAGCCTACTTTCTCTCAACAGGTCACTTCCTCTTGACCCATTTGCTGCTAGGAAAACTGAGGGACTCGGCCCCATCAAGGGTGGTCAATGTGTCCTCCTTGGCACATCATCTGGGAAGGATCCACTTCCATAACCTGCAAGGGGAGAAGTTCTACAGTGCAGGTCTTGCCTATTGTCACAGCAAGTTAGCCAACATTCTCTTCACTCAGGAACTGGCCAGGAGGCTGAAAGGTGAGCTTGGGAGGAGAGAGCAGTATGAGAGGCAGGAGTCAATGGGAAATAGTGAAAAGGCACAGAATGGGAACTGTTTTCCAGAGCCCATCACCTGGACAGGAGCCGCTTCCATGAGTCTAACTCGGTATGGTTTTATAAGTAGCCCCACATTGACTGCTGGAGGTGGCTGGCTGGCGACAGGGAAATTCTGACTTTCAATCTGAAGACTTGGCCCCACTGCTTACTGCTGTATGACCTACAGCAAGTTACTGACATTTCCCAGATTTTGTTCCTCCTAGGTATAGTGAGGACTGCTTCATGGGTCACTGTCACAATCCATTCAGTCCTCACAAGCAAGTCAGGGTTTTTTCACTTCTAAGTGATAAGTGAAATGGAACTTAATAGCAGACATTAGTATGAAACATGTCCTGGGATTGGTGGACTGGGGAGAGGGGGTGGGGGTGGGGGAAGTTCAGAGCACTTGTTGCTCTTGTAAAGGACCCAGAATCAGTTCTCTGCAGCCATGTGTTGGCTCAACCATCCACACAGTTCTAGTTCCCGGAGATCAGATACCTTCTTCTGACCTCCTTGCGGAACAGACACACATGTGATATACACGCAGGCAAAACACTCATAAGGATAAAATAATTTTTTAAAAATAAAAGGGAAAATATGCTTGAGAAGGGGAATTTGTAGTCACAAGTAATCAGAGGTAGTTATCATTGTCTGCTGTGCATTTTTTTAAAAAAAAGATTTATTTATTTATTTATTTGTTTATTTATTTATTTATTTATTTATTTATTATGTCTGAAGAGGGCACCAGATCTCACTACAGATGGCCGTGAGCCACCATATGGTTGCTGGGAATTGAACTCAGGACCTCTGGAAAAGCAGCCGGTGTTCCTGACCACTGAACCATCTCTCCAGCCCCTGCTGTGCATCTCTAATAGAAAGAAAGGGAATCTAGGGTGGGCAGTGCTAAGGAGCTGAGTCAGACAGAATTCAAGCTTAAGGAATCAGGAGCTAGAGCTCCACTGTGAAAGCAGTAATCAAACCACATGGACAGACAGCCGCAAAGTCGCAAGATGAGAGGAAGGAAGCAGTTGGTCAGCTCCGTCCCGATGCTGATTCTGTGCCTAGGGCAAGGCATCCTTTATTAGCTCAGGATGGATAAGGAGAAGTGATAGTAAGAACTACTAAGGGCTGTTAGGAAGTTAAGATGGCCCAGAGGTAGAGACATACATCCAGTGTGAGTTAGGCAAAAACAGAGTATACATTGAGGGAACCCTAGCAGTTGTGATGATTATGCAGACAACAGTGCTATAATACAGGATCCATCATCCATCCATCCCACAGACTTGCATCCCATGTCCTAGTTAGGGTTTGGAGATGAAGTACAGGTTCAGGTACTTTCTTGATTTGGCTTACATCTAAAGAGGAAGAGAGAATTTAATAAGTGTTTGCTTAACCAACACATGTAAAGGCACTCTAGTTGTGTGTGGATAATATTCATTGTAAAAAAGTTTAAATAATTTAGATGTACACTAAAGACAAAAAGCTTCCATTCATGCCCCATCCTTCAAATTACCACTATCAGCAGCTGCCAGTCATTTTCCCATGCATTTGCTTGTGTGTGTGTGTGTGTGTGTGTGTGTATCATACATGAGGAACTACAATTCTAACAGGATTTCAGTAGTCTTTCCATGTAATGAATACAGATTTACCCCCATTCAAAGGAGCAGTTTGGGGTGTAGATTTATAAATGTAAGCATACGGCAGTTAAAGAGCACTTGCTCCAAGTTCAGTGCCTGTCTAATAACTCCAGCACGAGGGGATCTTTTGGCCTCTTCATGCACCCATACACATGGCCTACACACAGAGAAACACATATATACACAAAATAAAATTGAAATAATTTTTTTTTTAAAGTGTGAGCATCAGCTAAGCAGTGGTGGTGCATGCCTTTAATCCCAGCACTCAGGAGTCAGGCCAGTCTCTTGAGTTTGAGGCTAAGCCTGGTCTACAGATCAAGTTCCAGGATAGCCGGAGCCACACAGAAAAGCCCTATCTCAAAAAACAAAAACAAACAAAGCATGAACATCATAAAATTGTAAGATCAGAGTTTAGAGAGCCATGGGAATTCTGAGGTTTGGTGTTTGGGTAGAAAGTGATGACCTAGGACATCTAGAACCAAGTTAAAACGTCTATAGAGTTAAGAACACTAGGAGAGGAGGAGGTCATGGAAGCCTAAGAGGGGGTTTGAGGATGCCAACAATGTAAAGAGCTGCTCTGAGGTTGGGTCCTGACTCTGTTGTCATAAGAGCAGAGAAAAGACTCTCTGGACCCTGGCTCCTGAATCTGTACAACGTGCATAAATCACAATGAGTATTGCGTGTGATGTCACCGGAAGCATGGACTTTGTCTATGGGGGTCATATGTGTCTTCACATGCCTTGCTTTGGCTAGTTGGTAACATCAAGTCTTATCTTCCTTCTTGACATGACACCTGTCTGTATCAGGCTCTGGAGTGACAACATATTCTGTCCACCCTGGCACAGTCCATTCTGATTTGATTCGGCACTCGTCATTTATGAAATGGCTGTGGCAACTTTTCTTCCTTTTCATCAAGACCCCTCAACAGGGAGCTCAGACGAGCCTGTACTGTGCCTTAACAGAAGGTCTTGAGACCCTAAGTGGCAGTCACTTCAGGTATGAATGTATCTGTCTTTGAAAATGAGTTGTTATTGCTGAAGGGAAAAACTTGGGTTTGTCTGATATAGTACATGCTTTTGTATAAAGTGTGTTTCCCAGAGCTGGAAACATGGCTGCTCTTTCAGAGGTCCTGGGTTCCGTTCTCAGTACCTAGTCACAAATGTCCCTAACTCTAGTTCCCAGGAATCCGACACTCTCTTCTGGCCAACAGGGGCACCAGGCATACAGGCAGATAAACACTCATACATATAAAATAAAAATAACAATAATTTTAAAACTTTAAGTACATTTTCTAAAATAGCTTTTGTCCTTTAACTCTAAGATTTTTCTTTTAATAGGAGAATTGGCCTGTTTGAATTTTTGTAGTACCTGCTAGGTTTGATTTTATTTTTATACCATCTTTTATAGTAATGATACTGTTTTCTCTCTGTTTCTGTTCTCTCTCTCACTCTTCCCCTCTCTCATGTCAATCCTGTTTTCTTCCTTTTTTGGACCCTAACCTCTGTTTTGTTTTTAATCTATATTTCTCTATTATCTTCAAGATTGAAATAGTACCAAAAGATTCCCTTCTGTTTTGTTTTATTATTTTATTTTTATTATTTTCTCTGTGCTGGGATGGATGCCTGCCCTGCAGTTATGGCAAGGTAAAGAAGGCAAATGAATACCTTTCTGTGGCTTAACTATGTCCCTAACACAACAGTGTTGAGAATCAGAACCATCAAGATTGGTATTATTGCCATTATTTCAGAGTTGGTTTGGTATTGGGAAAGTGGCTCCCTCTCACTCTCACTTCTATGCTTTTTGTTCTTCTCTCCATCTCTCCCTCCCCAGCTTCCCTTGTGACAGGACTTCAAGCATACCAGGCAGTGCTCAACCACTGAGCTAAGTCCCCGACCTTCTTCACTCATGTAACAATGCCTTCTGCAGCCACTGTGTGCAGCAGGACCTTAGCTCCCACACACTGTCCAAGGCCTTGAAGGGTAGACCTTGCAGCCTCATTTGAAGTAGATGGAGTCATCCAAGTGTCAGGGAGGCACTGATCACACTGTATAACAGACAAAGCATTCTGATTAGAGATAGTATAGGGAGACGGTAGAAATATTTTCTTGGGGGAAAGACTGGAGAATAGGTTGGATTTGGTAGCATATGCCTATAATACCAGCACAAATTCCATTCTTAACCCTCAATTCAAATGCCTGTTTCCCTTCCAGCGATTGCCACTTGGCATGGGTCTCTAGCCAAGGTCGTAATGAGACAGTAGCCAGGCGGCTGTGGGATGTCAGCTGTGACCTACTGGGCCTCCCTCTGGATTGGTAAGTAGTGGTTTGGACTCAAAAGAAGATTGGATGAGATGATGATTGTCCTTCAAAGTGGCCAAAACCTTGAGCACAAAGAGCAGAACTTGGAGCCTTGCCTGCTTGGTATCTATCCAGTTAAATCTCAGTACATTGCCGGGTGCCTCTAAACACCTTAAGTTTGTACCAACTTACTTTGTTCCTGCTCCTGCCAACATTTCTAGTGGTTTCATGGACTAGATAGAGGACCTTCATATGACCTCTGCAGCTCCTGTTTTCCTTTGGAAAGCTACTCCTAGGGAAATGGAAACCCTAGGATTGGTGCATTGCAATGTGGATTAGATGTAGCTCCTCCCAACCAACAAAGCTTTCCTTGAAGAGCTCCATTGCAACCTCAGTTGAACCCCAGAAGTCCAGTGACCTGGCTCAAGAGCAGGCCTTTGTGGCCCCAACATCTGAATACTTAGAGGAAAGTCTTCACTAAATCTGTCAGTCTGAAGTGTTTACTACTGAAACACTTTTCCATGTCCAGACCACAGATGAGCTTCCTTCTCTATGAAGTTTGTGGAATTTGAAGGGCAGAAATAAAAATAAAGCTAAACTGTCATTTTCCTGTTTCTCAGCGCAGTGAGGAAGGTAATGGTTATGAGAAGCTGGGTCACTTGGCTTCAGTTACTGACCCACGGAGGCCTCTTCTTTTTGTGTCCTTGTTTCTCCTAGGTAATGAGAAAAGGTCTTTTTATTGTCGCTGTGTTGCTCTCTGAGCATCTTCTTGTGTATTCATGCAGTTGGGAGTGTTTCCACAAAATTCACGGCAGCCACAAAGGAAAAGTCCTAAATCAGACTGTAGTTTAGACACATGACCGGGGTGAAGCAAACCCACATGGAGTCTTTGATATTCATGAGTATTGGCTGTAAGGAGAGGGAGACACTGCACAGGTGTAATTGGTCACCAAGAAGCAGAGACGCAGCAAAGAGAGGGAGACACTGTACACCTGTAATTGTCACCGAGGAGCACAGATGCAGCAGGGAAGAAGTTTTTAAAAAGAAAAATCCTAGGAGGTAATACATGATAGGAAGGGATCAGTTAAGAATCACAAAAACAAAAACAAAACCCGAAAAACAGTAATAGACAGCTATAGAAAACCACACCATTGAACTCTGTGTGTGTGTGTGTGTGTGTGTGTGTGTGTGTGTGTGTGCGCGTGTTGAAAAAGTCCAAAGCACAAGAGTGAAAAACTAACAAGTCTTTATTTAGAAAATTTATCCTAAGGACTGACACTGGTAATTACAGTCAATTTCATAATCTTTCAGAGCACTTCCTTATATTAACAATGTTAAGATGCCAATTGGGGGAGGGGGCAGTGTTGGGATGACTTGGCACTGGCTGCTGTTCCAGAGGATCCTCGTTCAAGTCCTAGGACCTACATGGCAGCTCACAACCATCTGTAACCTCAGTCCTAGAGGATCCAACACCCTTGTCTACCTCCATAGGCACTGCATGCCATGCACAGAGGCACATGCAGGCATTCACACACACATCATTTTGTTAAAAAAAGATGTCAATTTCAGGAATGGAGGTGAGTGCTTTCCTGGTATGTGTGAGGCAAAAGAAAGCAGAGATAGCTTCAACTGACTAAGGTTCTGTGCTTCATTTGGAGAGCTTTTATCAGCAAAAGGAGCCAGGAATTCTTCATGTCCCATCACTTGTTTGGAGGATGTTATTCTAAGAGAGATTGTCATTTTCTTGGGCTGACAATTACATTTTAACCTGAATAGGTAAGACTGATGGGACGGCAATCTTAAACTTCTAATATTTGTAAATTAATAATTTTGATGGGCTTGTTTTGATCATTAAACTATATACTTAAGGTGAGTTTATGGGGGAAATTGGAAAACTTTTGATAATGCAGTGAATAACTGAATTATATTTTACTTAATTTATATTCAATTGTCAATGGAAATAAAGGTTGTTTTTAATCATTATGTTTTTAGTTTCAGATTATAACTGTATGAATGAAACAAAAGTTTAATTGTTGTTTAAAGAAAACACTTCCTGTAGTTTTGCAGCTATTTCCCTTCTAACAGACGATGTGCCCAAAAAATCAATCACTATAGTACAACTGCCATCCACATGCGTAATTTGGATTGTGATCATCAGACCCATCATCAAATCAACTATTTCCTTCTTACCTTTTATGCCACTGTCCAAAAGTCACTTTCCAGGGCTCTTATTCATGCCAGGCTCTCCTTATTTGTACCTCTTTATTTCTGTGACAGAGAAATATAAGGCTTGGAGCTGATGAGACAGAACCGTTATTAGGATCATACAACTCTTACATGCATGACAGACAGCTCACAACCACCTGCAACTCCAGCTCCAGGTGTTCCAAAACCCTCTCTGGATTCCACAGCCAGTACACTTGCACTCATACATGTATACACACACTTAAATATAATTATTTTAATTTAATTTTTGAGGCAGGATTTCTATGTATAGCCCTGCTGTCCTGGAACTCTGTAGACCAGGCTGGCCTTGAACTCAGTGATCCACCAGCCTCTGCCTCCCAAGTGCTGGGGTTAAAAGCATGTGACACCACTCCTGGCCCATCTTTTAACTTTGTAAGAAAAAGAAATATAAGACTTTGCACCACCACTAACAACCCTAGACTTTGTCATCTCTGCACAATGCATGTTACATTTTATTTATTGAGTTCAATGGTCAATGAGTTCAAACTAGTAAAATCCAGGGCTTCAAAGACAAAAAAAAAAAAAAAAAAAAAAAAAAACAAAAA